GATTTTGTGGATTGGGCTTCACTTAAGACATTTAAGATGTAGTGAATGCACGGGAATGAAATTAAATACATGCTACCGGTAATGCCAATCCTGTGGGGAAAAAAAAAAAAATCTAATTATTGTCTATACAGTGGACTTCATTCAAGTTATTGATAGTGAAGCATTTCACGCTGAAATGTTACACAGTATTTATTTAATGTGGTCTACATCAGATCACCAAGGTCAGTATATGCCTCTGTCTCTTCTAACCAGCGATCAAAGCCGTAACTGTTCTGAGCCAGACTAGGCCCCTAAGTGCAGGACATTAACAAACCAAAAATGCAACACCAAATCGGAAAACAGGGCAACAAAACCAAAAACACAACGGCGAATTTGGAAACACAACGAAAACAAAAACACTACAGCATTAACTCAAAATGGAAACAGTAGATCCTTATCATGTTCACACAGCTTGCTGATTGGACGTGGCATATGGCTACTATAAGGAAAAAGAATTGCACTTTTTCAGTCCGTTACCTCGTTAGCTTAGCAAAAATGATTTAATGCCACATTAGTTGTATTATTATAGTGAGCAATAATTCTTTTTTTCTAAATAATTACTTCCTTTAGGCAAGTTTTCAGCATTCACATGCTCATATTAATGCTGTGAAAAGCTGACAGCAAATGTAAAATAACATCATGCCCATTAATAAAAATTTAAAAAAAATGAATAAAAGTTATCTCATTATCTCATACTGTAAGCATCCATCGTCTCTCACCTACCCTTTCTGTTTTGAATTAATGCTGTTGTGTTTTTGGTCTTGCTGTCGTTTTGTTGTTATACTTCTGAATTTAGCGCTTTCTGATTTGCTGTTCTGATTTTGGTTTGTTGATGTATTGTGCCATACAGAAATACCTGTACTGAATTTGATTGTCCGTCTTGCCGGGGCTAATGCGAGCCAAGTCATGACAAATACTGTAGGTGGAGCTACAAGTAGTGCTGATCTTCAGTGGGCTATGTGCACAAGCACTTTCTCATAATAACCAAAATGGCACTTCTGCTTCCGGCTCGTCCACTGTAATGGCAACGGTGCTATTTTACACCCTGTGTGTCTGCAGGAGCTCCCGGAAATGAGTGTCAGTGACTTTTATCATATATGCAAGAACACCTTCAAAGCTCCTTTTAGTAAGCTAGCGAAAAGTGTCAGACTATATGCTTTGTCTATGACTCAACGCTATGTCTTTATTGTAAGACTGAATAAACCAAACACTGGGCATTGTTGTCTCGCTATACAGCCGAATGTAAACAGTGCTACCGGAGACGTGAGATTTCAAACCGGAAATACATCAAAGCCTTAAGTGCAAGTAGCCCATTGGTCAAGAGCAATCGCACAGACTTATCTAGCCAATGTCTCTGGCTGGATACCTATATAAGGTAACATTATGGCTCTGTACTCCCTGCCTACTGTCCTACATGCATAGTGTAGAACATTGTTTGAGCTTCAGCCACAGAAAATACATTACTCCTTACCATCTGATAAAGTTTGCACTCCGACTTCTCTGTAATTTCAGTACAAATTAAAATATCGGAACGCTCACATTTAGGCGTACGGACTGCCATTAAAACGACCTCGCTGTGTTTTTGTTCACCTGTGAAAGAAATTAACATTAAATGATATAAGCCTAGGTTTATTACAAAATATTTTTTCCAGTAGTGCTTTGCTGCTTGTGCCTATCACCAGTCACCACCCACCACCTCCTACTCTCACAGGTTGCATTACATGATAGGAAACTAGCACACGCGTTCAGCATGGATGCAGATATTCTTGGTGTCGGATTAGTCGTCTAGCTGTGACGTGCCCTGTTATTCACTGACGAAGCGCTGTTAGACTTTAAAGCTGGAGAACCCGGAGACCGCAAGCAAGCACTTCATATATGAACCTTTATAAAGAAACGGATCCACATGTTTACATTGCACACACGACTGCAATTCCAGCAAGGTTCAACTTAGTACATCTTTCCTACTGCTAGATTTTGATTACATGTGACACCTTGCTGTCATGCCCTATCCATGTCTCCTAATCCCCTGAAAAGGCTGTAGCTTTCCCTCCCTCTGATACACTCCTAATCCAATCAGATGCATAACAGACGATCGGAGGAGCAGGCCACATATTAAATAGCATGATAATCTAGATTGATGAACATTCGATGTCAACATTAACAATATTTTCAGAAGTAGAGAATAAAGAAAAATCAATGGCCTTTTAGACCTGTCATTTCTAAAAGTATCTATCTAATGAGGATACCTTTTGAAAAGAAACAAATGACACAAGTTGAAATATTCTTTTTAATTATTGGACATCCATAGTGGAATATGATTTACATTAATGAGCCTAAGTATATTAAAAGCATTTTATCCCCCAGCATTCGAAACAATCAAATGATGGTCTTGGCAATGCCACATGAAGTGGACAAAGAGAGAGCGAGGTAATGTCATTTTAATTACTAATGGATCCCTCAATTGTTCAGCCTTTGATTTTTCTTTTTTGGCAAATCTAATAACGTGGATAATATTCATCAGATATGCGGGGCCTTTGGGGGATGATGAGATTAGCTCAGTGGCTCATATTTACTTAGAGAGAGTGGTTATTCACCATGCCAGCCACTTAAATCACTGGTTTATTTGAGGATTGAGGTTTCAGGGAGCGATCAAGATATTATATCTCACTGAAGTAGTTGTCCTTTTAATATATGAAAACTGTTGATTGCTGTCTGGGGTGGAATGACTGATTTATTGTATGTGGTATCTGTAACCCTTGACTGCTTTTTGTGGAAGGACCTGTGGATCTGAGTATATGGTGCCCGTGTTTGCAGACTCACTGATGGCCTTAGTCATGTGTGTATATTTGTTCTTCATGCAATAGTTCATGCAGTGTACCTACTGTGTGTATACGAAGGTGAGAGCTGATTAAACCATGAGCCATGGTCTTAGTTTTAGCATCATAAGGCAAGGGGTTCTGAAATATTTTGTAACCTCTTTAACTGTAAAAATAAATTCATGCAACCCTAAGGGTCAAGATGATATTATTTATGTTTTTGAGTTATCAAGGTTTTGACTGAATTCAAGGGATCAATTAAACAGCCTAATAACTATAATAGATATAATAACCTATTATATGATAATACATATATATATATATATAATAATAATGGGGGTTGTGAATTCCTGTAACTAACTGTAACTAAATTAAATATCACAGACCCCAGGCTGTACTTCACTGACCCCAATTTGAGAACCACTGATGTTGTATGTAAAACCTCAGGATATTTTGTGCAAGTAAGGAGAATTTCAGACTTTTCTTGTCCACCATAATTTTGACAACTTTACAGGCACTTCACTTTGCAGTATAAACTGTGCTTAGACTAGTAGTTAGATTTGTCCAATGTTGGCCCCAGGAACTAAACTGGTCCTGCTCTAATACAACATCATATGAAATGACCCCAGCAAGGAATTTTGCTATGATATTATTCAAACTAGACAGGCCTATACCAGTACTGTAGGACCTAATTGGTTTTGAGCATTAGAAAAGTGTGTCATGGAGGGAAGAAAAAGAAATCTGGCATTCTAAAATGCCTCCTTATAAGTCTGACTCACATTATGTATAGTTGCATTATGATCCCCCCCCCCCAGTTCTCATTCGTTCTGGTTGAATGTCATTGGCAAGATAGCTTTATTGCTTTAGACCCATGCGGGCGGCCAGGTTGGAGGGCCCTCGGTACGACGGATGAGCCTGGCAGGAAATTGGCAGATGGAAGCATCCATTTCACTGCTAATTACGGGGGCCACCGGCCTCGCCGACTGACAGGGTTCAACTGGGCAATGTAGAGGCTGCCAGCTCCCATCCTGCACGCTTTATAAAACGCTCTTTAATCCTCCTGCACAATATCATTAACTTTGTAAGTGGATGAACACAATGGACAAGCAATTTAATTAACTTGTACCATTGGATGTTGGAAGGAGAGACTAAATGAAATTAATGCACAATATTTCCCCGGCCGGGCGGCCAACCCCGGGAGCAGCCTGGATTGTTGGCAGGTCCTGCGTGGCCAGCCGGTTTGGCCAATTACGCCTTGTTTAGACCTATCCATAACGTTTTCCACAAAAAAGGGGAAATAAAATCAGCGGTTCGCAGATCAATCATACAAGCACGCCACTGGAGTTTAGGGAGCGTTTTAACTAAATGAGAGGAGCACTCTTTCAGACTGCTCTCCATTTCTATTTCTGTTTTTCTGTCTCTCTGACCGTCTGTCTGCCTGAACTCCTACTGGGCCATGATTGAAATTTTCATAGACGAAAGAACAGTTGCTAGAAGCTTTGAGGAGTACATGGTAGGATTAAACACTTTGATTGAATACAGTGGAAACAGATTGCGTATGCCAGTAAGAGGTGGCATCACAACTCCGAAAGTATTTGTGCTGTTGAAACCGTGTACCAAAGAGGAATCTTTGTAAAATATGTAATGGATATCAGAGTAATAAATGGGCTTTAAACATGCCTTGTATGTGTTTGTGAATAGTAGAAAACAAAGATGCTTTTTTTTGCAACTTTAGGGTTAAGAATATTTGCCGATTAAAAAAAAAAAAAACATGTATCTATAGTAAAATAGGTCATCATCCGGAAGATTTAAACATAATTCATGAATGTCAAATTGCAATGTTCATAAAACTGAATTTTGTGATATATTTTATGTCAGGGTAGCAGGGGTACTGTAACACATTGGTGTTTTCTTCAGGATGATGCAAAATGACTCAGCTATTTAAAAATATTCAAGAAATTCCTTGGTTGTTGTTCCTCTTTCAACTGCTCCCGTTAGGGGTCGCCACAGCGGATCATTGGTCAACGTATATATTTGATTTGGCACAGTTTTTATGCCGGATGCCCTTCCTGACGCAGTTCTCCCCAATTCTGTCCGGGCTTGGGACCAGCACTGGGAGTGCATTGTCGTGTGCAACCCCAGTGGTTCCCTGCCCAGCAATCGAACCTGGGCCGCAGCAGTGAGAGCGCTGTGGCCTAACCACTAGTCCTCCAGAGACCCCAAGAAATTCCTTGGTAATTGTACAAAATTGGCCTTGGTTATAGGTATGGTACTACACATAACCTTGGTTATAGATATAGGTTATAGTCAAAACGTTGGTTTTGACTCTGCATTCGGATGTTTCATTCATTAAACTTTGCTAAAATCTCTGAGGAGCATCAAAACCTGGCTGTGCAAGACATTGAAGAAACTGTACTTAACTTGACGCACAAGAATTTGTTCATGTTTAGCAAAGAGCAGCTTTTACCGGATTGATGGGCTGTAGCATTCTTCTTAGTGAAACGTCAGATAGGTTTCAGTTTTTTAAAAATGCCCCACCTCTCCCGCTAAGATAGACATGTTTTACTGGTTCTACAACTGATTTTGACTATTTTCAGACAAATAAAGTGACTATGAAATGAACTGATACTGCTATGAGTCAAATCCCGGCATGTTCTGGCTCCCATGGTTGTGCAGGAACAGCTTGAAAGCTTTTTTGGCCTTTTTTCCAGGGTGCTTTTTTGGCCAAACAGCCTAATAAGGAGACTTCCTTTTGGACTACAATATACTCTTTATTTCACTCATACACCATGAAATCTCATTCAATGCTCTTTCAAGGTTATAGAGTAACTAACACGAGGTAACATTTTAACCAGGGATCAAAGTCACAGTGACTCTGAAACAGGCCAAAAGTGAGTTAGGCTTCAAAGCCAGGCCCAGCACAGAGCCCAGAGAGAGCAGCACTTGTTATTCAGGATCCAGAGCGAGCCGGCACCTCTCGAGCAGCCCTGCACAAACCTCCAATACTGCACAAACAGGCTGTTTGTCATCCTCAGCAATCACAACACCCTGAGAGAGAGAAGACGAGGAGAGACAGAGCATCAATAACAGGGTGGCTTTTCAGCACAGAAATACAGATCGAGATGCCCTTGCTTCCCCCTCCTCCAATCCTTAGCCATATATGTTTGCCAAACAGCACCTCACTCATTGATTGAGTATTCAGAGTATTGAGCCACGATGTCTATTATTCATCTGGTGCAGGAAGGCCTGACTGGATACACAGACAAAACTCTCATCTAAAGTTCCTCCGTCACCAGCGCTTATTTTACAAGCAGGTCGGATGCAGCAGTGATCCATCAGGGCCTGAAGGGGCTCTTGTCTGTGTGTGAGAGCATTCCCCTGACATGAAGACTCAAACATGTCACAAACTCTGCGCTCCTGTTTGTGTATGTGTGTGGTAGAAAAGAGGAGTTCGATTATACAGTTCTTATTTTAAATAGGTGTTTAGCCTAGATGTGTGATCATCGTTATTAAGCTGGCTACATAATTGGCTTTAAAATAACTTCACCACACATTGAATCCTGGCAGCATGTGTAGCTGACATTTTAAAATCTGTGGCATGAGGTTCGAGGGCACTTTGGGAATTCCACATAGTCAGAGAGCTACATGTAGTCACACTACAGCTCTGAGCCGCTCCGGGCCTGCTTTACTCAGCATGTTGCAATGTCCTAGTAGGGCTGTGCAATGAATTGTTTTTTAAAATGGAATCAATTTTTTTTTTGCTTTCCTTAAACATAACCGTGGTGTTTATTGAGATCATTTTGGTTTTTATTGACTCTGGTGCTTTATATCGCGAGTTTTTCGTTTATACTTTAACTGTGTATTTGGTTGTAAATGTCAATGAATACTTATTGGTTCATTGTTTAAAACATTTATTAATTGATTGATTCGTTCATTCGTCTCTTGATTAATTGATTCATTGAATCATTGCATAATTATGTTTGTATCTATATTTAGCATTTAACAGTTCCACTGAATTAATGATCCCAGCGAAGCTGAGATTTATCCGAGACAGAATACAGGCTTCTAATTTACAATATGAAAGAAAATGTCTGTTTTCTGCTGAATTAGCGTGATAAACGCAATAAACCTATTTTGTTTCTAAATTTATTGAATTATTTTTATAGTCTCACTTTCAGTATTGAGCAAAAATACTGATGTTCATGTTAGCTATGCAGGCATGGTGCTGTTCAAGGTTATGGCTAGTAGCCATTTACTACCTTTTACTTAAAATGAGCAGCTGACGTGTGCTAATGTGAAAGAGAAACACTTGTGCCCTGTTTAAGTCTACTATGCACTTTTTCTCCATTTAAAAGCTTTTATATTGCATTCCCTCACTGACCTAACTAAAGACATGATTGTACATGACTAACAGCCTGACCCTCGCCTTGAGCTCCTGACCCACAAGCATCACACAGTGTGTGTCTGCATTCAGACTCTGTGGCAAAAAGCAGTGCTGTGACTGCTGTGAAAAAAATGACTACATTTATGTTTGCTTTATGGCTCATTTTTCAAATAGAATGCAGAAAATCCATTAAAGGTCATGAGATTTTGGCCTCTTTTTCCTCAGTAAGTGCATACCTTCAGCAGAGCTTAGCATGTAGTGTAGTACTGTGCAGAAGCCTGCCAAGAGTCGTTTCAGACGATTAAATCTGAGGAAGATTACTTTTCCCCCCATTGTTGTTAATTTCGGAAAGTACTATTTAGCAGGGTGTGATGCAGTCGCAGTCCTGCATTGTGTTCATCTCTCATTTGTTTTCCTGGTGGTGCGGTGTTCCACCTGTGGCCAAGAACGAGAGTGAGAGAGGTTTCCAAGGGCCGGCTGTAAAACCTGCCTTTTATAGCCCAGTTATTGTCTTTCTGTCTACAATTACTGCGATTACTCATTTCCTTTCCCGTCCCTTCCCTGGCCCGCCCGGTGCGCTTAATAGAGTGTATTTTACTAATGGAAAATTAAGTAGTGATCGTGACAGTCCAGTTTATAAATATGTAAAATATACTTTTAATTATTTCAAGTGAATCTGGCAGGTAATCAATAATGCAGGACGTGACAAACATACGCTTGATGCGGGTCATTGTAAAGCAGCGGGTAAAAAGATAAGCACTTCCTGTCAGCGCGCTCTGGCTCCAATTAATATTTTGAGGCTGTCATGCCTCAAGACAAATGGATTAATTGTGGCTTGCTAATATAATAGGTTCTTCATGAAGAGCGCCCCGGCTCAGGAGGAGGGGAGGAGCGAGGGGGGAAAACGAGGCAGTCGGTTTGAACTCTGACGTTAAATATTTATTAGAACTCTCGTATAGAATTTTTATGACGGCTCAGGCCGCTGCTTGGGTGCAATTGTTTACCATTTATTTGAGAGGTGATTAATTGGAGTTTGCTCAAAGTAATCATGACGATGCCATTAGCGATGATTGCTTTCAGAGAGGTTATTTGGTTATAGCTTGGTGTGACAGTAGAACAAAGAGTGACTAACACAGCATTGAGCTCCACTGGGAGAGGGCAGCTGCTGCTGATTTACCTGTTACTGTGACTCAAGGACGCACTGGTTAGATAAGGAACGATAAGGAATAACCCTAAAGATTTGAGTTATTAGCTGTATTATTGTTAAGTGAAGGCTTTAATAAGTGTCGATTGATGCAAGGGTGTTCTTGATCTTGAATAAAAGATTAAATAAGAATTCACTTTTGTTTATTTACTTACTTTTACACTTGATGATAGAATCGTAATGCTGACCATTCTGACAATTTCACGTTAGAACATTAAACTCTCTTCTTATGTATTTTTCCTCTAAATGCCTCTGTGAAACAAAGGAGATGTATAAGTGGAATGATATTAATATTAGTATAGATATTAGTATTCATTTTCTGTAAAAACCACATGCAGTGGCCTTTCCACTAAGGGCAAAGTGGTCCCAAGCTGTGCCAGCAAAATGTCCCTACAGCACAAGAAACACAGAATCCTTCACTGCTGGGGTTAAACTCTCAGGCCTGTACCATTCTCTCGGTATTCACATGGACCATACTTACATTAACATGACTCACCTGACCATTTCGCTTTTCTACATCTCTATTAGGAGTGGACGATCTGAAAAAATATCATATTATGATTCTCGAAAACAATTTTTACTATATCCGATATGTATATTGGATATATAGGGTAGCTCACAATTTCGGAGAAGTACATGTATAGTGTTGCATTTAAAAAAAAAAAAAAAAAGTTGATAATTTATTTAATGTCTACAAAAATAAATGTATTTTTTGTAATATTAAAACAGTCATTTTTGTTTATAGAAAATATTTTAAAAATGAATAGTGAATATGAGAAAAAAGGTTCCAATACAATATTGTGGCAAACTTCATCGTGAGATCAATATTATATTGTCATATCACCTAGCGTTGATCTCTATAGCCTAGCATTTTTGGTTTTTGCACCGCTAAACTTTCAAATCTTCATCCGTCTAAGTGTAGATAGAGTGTTCTTGCTGACAGTCTGATCACGTCCTGCATTAACAGTGTTGGTCACCTTAAGAACGCTTGCTCTATTATTCTTCCTTGCATATCACATTACATGCATTAAATGTGTGTTTTCGACCACAATGTCGCTATGTACTTTCCCGTAGCTCTAAATCCAGATTTCAGTTTAGTCACTGTTTCTACTGAAACACAGTCAGTTAACAGCCCCATTAATGCACCCTATTTCAAAGTCCTTTTAAAATCCAAAATCAAGATGAACTGGTTCTGTTCAGGATTTTTACACATGCCACAGTGCAGCATGGTACACTGGCAATTGTTTAATTGTATCATACAGGACGCTTGTGTGTAAGCATCTGCCCTCGTTTTGTTTCTCTGCTCATTTATTCAGGTTTTTCCTTTAATTTGTCACCCAGTGTGTTACGCACATGTTGCTGTGCACTATTTCTCAGCCCTCCTTTGGCCCATCCGTCGACAGAAAGGGCCTCCGTACAGGCAGTTTGAAGTGTGAGCTCTCTCCCTGTCTCCCAGCATGTCAGTCTGCCCTTTTCCTCATCTGATATCAGACGGGGCCTAGAATGTTCTCTCGGGGTTAAGTCACGATGAAGATATTCTCATCTTTTATTTGTGAGACAGTTGTTTTCTGTTGGATAGCCTGATCTGATGTGTCACGGAGATGGACAAGACCTCATCTTTGTGCTTTC